GGTAGAACGCTTGCACAATGACCACTTCAAAACGAATGCCGATCCTCGCAGGCCGCTTTCTTGCTTGTTCATCTTCAATTTTCCCAATTTCCTCCTAGTTACCGTAAGCATGGGACATCAATTTTTGGTTACGTTATAGGACGAAGTACCTCCTGTTTCCACAGTCCAGCAGTACCCTTGCGGATATTTGCTGGGAATTTCTGCCAATAGGTCATAAAGCTGCCAGTAGTGGTATCAGGGTGCTTGGAGGAAGGAAGAGGAATTGGGGATAGGTTGTGAGGACTGGGCAAAGCTAAGTATGGGATACCGCAGCATGTCAACACTTCGTACAACTTTCTTCAAAAAAAGGATAGCTTCAGAAAATCAAAGAAACGGACCATTCCAATGAAGGAGAGCCAAGTGCCAAGAGTTTAAGTCTCTCTACAGAACAATCAACAAAAGCTTACGGCATATGATGGCGTCACTTCTTCTTTCACCTCGACTCGAACTTAGTGACTTCCGCATTTATCCTTTTTTATTTATTTTCTATGTAATCGTCTTGTAACCACAATCATTTTTTCCTGTCCTTATACTGTCTATGACTGCGTTTTTAGGGAATGATGCGTTTTCTCCTTCTCGCAGCGACAACAACAATCATATATGCCGCCAAGGATCTATCGAGGGAACCCCTTGAGAACGGTAGTCTATTCTGTTGAATTTGAGCTTAGTCTTCAATGAACAATGGGAAGATGCTGCCGAGACCCCTTTAAATTAGTAATGCAAGCGTAGTGTAGAAGTTTGTTGGAATACATCCCGACATGAAGGCATGTGATTGGTGGATCACTTTTGCTGGCCAATCACAAGCGGGCCATACAAATATCGAGCTTCCGTGATCTTATCCCTATGTTTCACCACTAAATAATTTCTCCTTTCCAGTGAATTCCTTCGATTCTGTCGACACAGACAGCAACGGTGCCATTACCTACAATGAATTTGAAAAATGGTACAAGAAAACGCAGCATGAGAGCAGCGATGTAAAAATCAAAAGTAAGGGCTTTGATATTTCATATCTAGAACTATTCAAAAAATAAAATGTCACTGAATCAAAAACAGGTCTGTGGGTTTTTGGCACTGGAATTGCTGATACGAATTCGAAAAAAAAAATAGTTTCAGATCTTTTTCACAAATTCGATGCATCCCGTGATCAGGTATTGGATGTGGCAGAATTTGTACCGTTAGCATACGAAATTAGCAGAAAGCCAGTTGACACCGCTGAAGAGATCTTCAAGGTAATGCTGGTAATGCTCTTCTTCCCTTCTTCTCGAATAATCATTTCTACTCCTTCAAACTTGACTCTCTCAAAGATTCTACACTAACTCACAATGAGAGGGTACCTCAAAGCAAGTTGGAGTTTGGATGGAGTCATGCTCGATGTGATTGTGAAGTTGGCATGGGGTGGCTTATTGTTTGAGCTTTGGTCTAGTTTGGCCATCCAGACTGAACGCCGAGAATATGCCCAAGAAGAACCCACAGATCGGAAACGGGAAGAAAAACAGGCAGCGTGACTACAAAAAGCGATAGGGAGAGTAGCTTTCACGGACTTCAGTGCTGCCGAACAAATTTGATTCTACTTTTGTAATTAGGTAGCTTGTTTTGTGGGGCTCCAGGTGGCATTCCTTATCTTGATAAAATGACCTTCTCTTTCAGCTTTGGTTTCTCGTTTGAATGCTCAAATCTAGATTTTTAGCGGATGGACCTTAATCACGACAATGTTATCGACACCAACGAAGCCGCCATTTCACGAAAGGAGTACGGTGCTGGGTGAGTAAAGGAAAAAACAGCTTAATTAGTGAGGTAGAAAAAAGTGTCTTTCTCAGATCAAGCCAAATTTCGGATTTTGAACTGGTTAGGGTTGTACCAAGATATGATTACTATCTGTCCGCTGTAGCAGGTATTGCATAGTGACAAGCATTTCTTGCGTTCCGGGACGTAACTGATATTCCACTATCGAAGAGAGCCAGTGTGGCGGTAACATTCCCCCTTCATGAAGTTCATTTTCCTACATGATCGATGCTCATATAAACGTTGTCTCCTACGGGACCATCTTCTACATAAACTCGATAGACCGCAAAGTTGTTGGTCTTTTGCTTAACTGGTAGAATGTTTGGACGGAGGAATTCATGTTTTTGACCGAAGATATCTTGGAGGGGACCTTATTTGCCCCCTATTTTCGCTTCGAAAAGGGTACAATGCCTCAGATGAAACACCTAACGGAGGCTCTGAACTAGGGAATTGATTGAGCGGAAAAATGGCAATTCCGAGTTGGTTAGTTGAAACCGAGGACCTAACGAAAGGGGTTTTCACAAAGGGTACAGCACACAGTACTATTCAGCTCTAGTAGATTTTTGATGAGTGCTTTAAACTCAGTTGCAAAATAGCCGCACTACCGATTTAACCAGCTCTGGGCTCTAAGGAAGACGGGCAATAGGATCGGTTTTGTGTAATCGATTCGCCGCGCGCGAAGTCGCAGACGATTCATCTCGTTATTAAAGTCCTAACGTTCTTCACACAGCTACATAGATATGCAATTATTATTTTAGGCATGATTCTGATGTTAGTTCTTTTGTTCCTGTATTTCTTACCTGCTGCTGCACTCTGCTACATTCCTTCGCGCGCGGCGTCCCCTATGCCGCTACGCGACAGTTCCGACCCTACTGCAACACACCCCTACTGTGTCATCACCATATGTTTGCTACAGTCCTTGAACACGAAGAGCTCCACCATATTGAACGCAGGCACTGTTTCAGAATCATCGATAGTGTTCTGGCTGTTGCTGACGTCAATGGCGACGGACAACTGACTTATGAAGAATTCAAGGTTCAACTGGACTACAACAGGCCCAAGAGTAGGGTTCGTTCTTAAAATCTGACAGTGCAATCAACTAGGACTTCATCCAAGTTGACTATTTATTTTAGAAAGAAGCCAATAAGGAGATGGCATACAAAGTATTGAACTATATCGATCAGAATAGAGATGGAAAACTATCAGCTCAAGAAATCCGCAACTTCTCTTCACTCTACAACAAGGTAGGTTCTCAACGCTCCGATGTTTCGTTGAGGCTGGAAAAGTATGGACAAGATCAGTCCTCTTGATCGCCATCGCTGAGTTGTCATTTTTCAATGATTTAATAGTCGCAACTCAAAATCGCATCAATTCGATGGTCGTAGCCTACTGTAGTCACTGTACCAACCCGAAAGCTACTCGCTCCAATTCTTATAGCAAGTCAACAGCATGGCGTAACCCGCATGGCTAGACTAATGCGAAGCATTTTTCTTGTTTCCGTTTTCTTTTGTGTGGAATGATGCCTAATCAATTGATGATTTCAGCTGTCCGATGCAGAAATTACCCAAGTGATAAGCACCCTAGATGTCGACAAGGATGGCTTCTTAACCGTCCACGAATTGGAACGAATCCCTGGTAAAATCGCCGAAGTCGCCAACATTCAACCACCACCAACAGTTTAGAGAACCTACCCCATGCGGAGAAAACTTAACGTATTAATCACTACTACTCATAGTGCCTGAAGTAGATATTTGTATAACTGTGCTTGTATATAAAGAACTCTTTTGTTGTTTTCTCCTTCGTAGGGTCGATAATGACTTTTTTTTGAAGTCCGTGCATAAAAATCTCTGAAAAATATAAGTCAACATTTGTACAAGAGAACGGAATTCCTTCAAAGACGGTTTACTTGGCCGTGGAAATGGTAACAGTAGAACTACAGATCAGGAATCAAATACTGGAAAGATTTATTTAAGTAACTCCCACATGAAAGAGCTTGATGGAAAAAATTCTCTTTTCCAATAAGTATGTTATGCAATTTAGAAAGTAAAAAGATAAAAAAGATAAAAATCCGATAGATCCAGAGTTCCTGATTAGTTGACAGTTTGGTGTCCTCCAAATAAGGTAAGCCTCGAAATTCCCTGCCGATTTTTTTTCAAATTAACAATTTTACTGCCCTTTGCCCCCCCCCCCCCAGCTTTGCTGTTGTGCTCTCCAGTGTT